GTGTTTGGCTGTATGTTGTTGGTTATCTTCTTTTTAAAAAATTATTTGTCTTAGGGCCGGCAGGTGGCATGGTGGATAAAGGCGCTCGAGTCCCACATGTCTGACTGTGGGTTTGTTCAGTCCAGGACCTCCTGGCGGCTTGCTTTCTCCCTTTCCCTCTCCCTTTCCCATTCTCTCTCTCTGGTCAAATTAAAAATTACTAATAAATAATGTAATTAAATAAGTCTTCTCAAAATTATTTATATTAATATTTTCCTTCAGATATTGAGAAGTTGAGATTTCAACTATTCTCCTTAATTTCACCATAACAAAAAGTAAGCTTTCAATGGCATGAAGGTTTTTTTTTTTTTTGAGAGGTTTTCGCTATAGGGCGTGTACGCTCGCCAGACAGAGAGAGACATAGAGACAGAAAGCGAGAAATCACCCCCCAGGGGGGATGGTCACGCCGCAATCCCTTCTCCATTCTCCTCTCGGGATCTTGGGCACGCACGCACACGCACACGCGCCCGGCGTGAGTTTGAAGCCACCGGGTCCGGGACGTGAACTGTGGTCGACTACGGGGGAGTCCAGCGACATAGCCATTACACTAACTGCTGGTTCCCGATGGCATAAAGATATTTCTTAAGCTAAATATAAAATGATTTTGAACTAAAGGTTCTGATTTCAAGTATTTTATTTATTTTAATTCTTTGATTTAGCAGATTATAGTTTTATAAATTATCTTAACATCTATGTTTTGGTCAAATTTACTTTTCTACTAAATTGAACCATATGAAATGGCCTTCCCTTTTTTTTCTGGTCAAATGGTTGAAAAAAATATATATTTATTTACGCACACACACACAAACACATACACACACACATTGCTAGAGGGCACAAATGCTTGCCAGAGAGAGAGAGAGTGTGTACACACATAAACATATCCCAGTGGGATGTGGTTATGCCACAATCCTTTTTCCTTTATTCTTCCCATCAGGATTTTGGGCATGTATGTGCACACACCCTGCATGTTTGTCAAGCTACCAGGCTAGGATTTGAACGCAGTCAGCCATGTGAGTTTCAGCTCCCTCCACTGTGTTACAAGGCTAGCCTAGTATGTTGCTCCTAAATATTATATGTGAAAAATCCTGAGAGCCTATTTTGTCTTTACTTTAAATGGGAAAAAAATGACTTGAAATTTGTTTTTATTTTAAATCACAAGTACCTGATAAGCATATATACCCTAATCCAAGCCACCTTTGCTCCAAAGAGCAAAATAATAAATATAAGAAGACTTCAAGCAATTTGTTGAAAATTGGAGTTAAAGTCCACATTTATTTTGGTACAAAAGATGCATAGGTTTTTTTTCATAATATGCATTTTCCATGAACTTTTTAAAGGTTCCTCTCATGTGGCTTCCATATTTCAAGGCTTTCTAATCTTTAAAATTAAAATGTTTATTTGATATTGGTATAATGCTATTAGTTTGCCATGAAAGCTCATGTATTTATTGCAATGTATATGAATCACCTACACAGACTCTCTGTTTTAGTTCACTATTATGTTGCTGAACAAATCCATATTAGGTGATTTATAAAGAATACAGATTTATTTGACTCCCTGTTCTGGTGGCTGGAGAGTCCAAAGGTGTGAGATAGACATCAGGGTTGGCCTTTGGTGCTACATCGCATGTCTGATGGAAGCAGAGAGGAAGTGGGGGGGAGGATGTGGGCAAACAGCACAACCTGGGGGCAGCCTCTTTTTACAACAGCCTACTCTTGTAGAAACTAACCCTTCCTCAAGAGAGTGAGAACTCACTCCTCCTCCAAGGACACAACATTAATCCACTCATGAGGGCAGATTAATGCTTTGTAATCCACATGCCACCCAGCTCACCTCCTAATGGCGTCACCACCTCCCAACACCATTGCACTGGGACCAAGCTTCTAGAACATGAACTAACTCTTGTGGGACAAGCCATTAAAAAAAAAAAAATAGCACTCTCTAGCCAATTTGAGAAATGTGACTGACACTGGAAATCACCTATAAATAAGTAAAAAGGGTAGGAGGTTATGTGGAAGTTAAGCGTCTGGGTCTCATATGACTGACTTAGTGGTTTGAGTCCCAGACCTAGGGACTTGGAAAACTCTCTGGGGTTGTGTGTGTGCACACCTAAAATCCCAAGAGGAGATTGGAGGAGAAGGGATTGTGGTATGGCCATCTGCCCTGGGGGATGATTTCTTACTCATATCCCCCACCCCCACACATGTACCCTATAGCAAAATAAAATAGAGAAAAAAAAATACTGTGAAATTTATATGTAGTAATTTCTTTCTTCCAATATAATTGCTTTTTGCCCATTCCCAGTGTTTTCTTTTTTTAAAAAATATTTTGCTGGAGGGTGTGTGTGCTCACCGGGGAGAAACAGAGAAAAGGAGAGGGAGAGAGCACCCTCTCCAGTGGGGTGTGTTCATTCCACCATCACTTCTGCATTTCTCCACCTGTTGGGACTTGGGGCGCACACACACACATGCCTGGCATGTTTTTCAAGCCACTGGGGACATGATTCAAATTGCATAGTTGGCCATGTGGAATCCAGCTCCCTTAACCGCTAGACCATGAACCTAGACCTCTTCAACATTTTCTTAAATTAAGAGCTAAATAAATAACGGATTGTGTCAAGTACACTATCATAAAATGATTTACATTGAGTGCAATTAAAGCATCCATATACCTTCATTATGTATGACTCTATCTATTATATTTGGAATGTAACTCAAGACTTTCTTGCATATTCTTATGCTAGTTGAGTTTGGGGTAAATACTATAAAGCTTACATAAACATTTATAAGTATGTCTTATTTGGGTATAAAGACCAAGAGATATGTTCCACTGGGAAAGGAATGATTGAAGAGAGACTCTGTGGTGTTTGCCTGTGTGTTATAAACTCTTTGCGTGTAGGTTTTTATTTCACCCTCAACAGATGAAACTTGGTACATTAGGTTATCTTTATAAGTTGGTAGAAGTAAAACTAAAAGCTTAAATATTCTAGATTTTAAGCTTCAGAAAGTCTATAGTTTAAGGGCCAGTGGATGGCATGGAAGTTAAGGTGCTAGATTCCCACTTGGCTAACCATGGTTTGAGTGTTGGACCTGGTGGCTTGAAAATCATAACAAACAATTAGATTTAAAAATGTTTTTTAAGTCATATAGTTTAAAACTAACAGTTATGGGACCAGCAGGTCGTGTCATGGTTGAGGCGCTGGACACTCCTACATGGCCGACCACGGTTTGAGTCCTGGAATTGGCGGCTTGCTTTCTCACTTTCTGTCTCTCGCTCTCTCAGTGTCTCTCTCTGGTCAAATAAAGGAATGAATGAATAAAATTAAATAAATAATTATTTAAAAAAACTAATAGTTACAACTTATGTTGGTTTATATAGTAGTGTAAAATTATAGTTTTCAAATGTGCCTTCATTTTCAGTGAAAATGGTTTAAATTTAAATTAGGACTTTGGATTTAAATATTAACATTCTTATGTCCCAAACATGAAAGAAAAAATTAAAAAGTGTAGCTGAGTTTAAAAACAAAACATCAACATGGAGCAGAAATAATAAGGATAGAAAGGGACTCAAGTAGACAAGGATGGCAAAAGATTGACTCCTATAGGATTTTGTGGGGAAAGGAGAACTTATTAAAAAAACGGATCAAAGCCAGATGAACTGCTTGAAGATGGACTTGTGTGGTACCTCTTTTAAATAAAGATGCTGATTAAAAATTGTTGCTGGTGCGGTAGATAGCATGGATGCTTAGGAAGCTGGATCCCATGTGGCCAACTCCATGATGCAAGTCCTGGATGTGGTAACTTGAAAAGCACTCTAAGTGTGCAAAACCCAGAAAAAATGGAGGAAACGGGAATGTGGAATGGCCATCCCATCATGTGGTGATTTCCTTTTTTTTTTTTTTTTTGGAGAGGTTTTGTTATAGGGCATGTGTGATCACCAAAAAGAGAAAGAAAAGAAGGACAGAAAGTGAGAAATCACCCCCCAGGGGGGATGGCCATGCCATAATCCCTTCTCCATTCTCTTCTTGGGATCTTGGGCATACACACACATGTGCCCAGTGTGAGTTTAAGCCACCAGGTCCAGGACTCGAATGCGTGTCGACTACATGGGAGTTCAGCGACATAGCCATTACGCCAACTGCTGGTTCCTCATGTGATTTTTACACACACATATCTCCACCCCTGTCTCTCTGGTGTGTGCACATGTCCTATAGTAAAAAGTAAAAAAGAAAAAAAGATGTTCTAGTAACCCTTAAAATATGTGGAGCCAGCAAGTGGTATGGTGGTTAAGGCGCACTGGATTCCACATGGCCAACTTTGAGGTTCAAGTCTGGATCAAGTGACTTGAAAAAAATATTCTGGGTATCTGTGTATGCATGCCCAAAATCCCTAGAAGAGAAGGAAAAGGGATGGCACTGTGGCTGTTTCCCTGGGGGGTGCTTTCCCCACTTTCCCTCTCTCTGGCAACTACACCATGCCCTAAAGCAAAAAATAAATAAATTTCAGGGCCAGCAGGTGACATGGTGATTAAGGGAGCTGGACTCCCACATGATTGATTGCAGTTTGAGCCCTGGACTTGGTGGTTTACCTTCTTGCTTTCCCTCTCTCTCTTTTTCAATAAATAAATAAAGTTAAAATGAGTCTTTTAAAAAAATAAAATATATTTCAAGTATTCAGTCACTGTGTCTATCACATCTGCTAAAGTAAACTTACATAATTTCTCATATAATTCCTTGTATTCTTAGACTTGATAAGCAGCAGGTTGATATATGGCCTCATGGATAAAGTTCATTGCTTCATTCTGTATCTCTGTGGAAATCCTTTGAAAGAAAGGTAGTGTCATTTGTGTGTGTGTGTGTGTGTGTGTGTGTTTAATTTGCAAGTTAAAAAATTGTATTCACTATTTAGGAATGCTGTAATTTGTGTCATTTTAAAAACGTATATTTTATTCCCACTTAGGCCGAATACATCAAGCAATGGTAACATCTTTAAATGAGGATAATGAAAGTGTAACTGTTGAGTGGATAGAAAATGGAGATACAAAAGGCAAAGAGGTATGATCGGTTACATTTTATTTCTGCTGCAATCAAGTTCCTAAATGTAAAAACAGAAAAGTACATAATTTTTATATTGTTGTGTGTGTATATATATAATTATTAATATTATGTCATATATTCTTTAAAACTCCAAAATGTTTAAAAATTTTCATTCAGAAAAGGTAGATTCCTTTTTTAAATATATATCTTTTTTTTTTTTTTTTTTAAGAGAGAGACTTTTGGTATAATAAGCACATGTGCTAGACAGAAAGCAGAGACCGAATGTGAGAAATAACCCCTCAGGGTTATAGCCATGTTGCAATCCCTTCTCCTCCATTCTCCACTTGGGATTTTGGGCATGCACACACACACACACACACCTGACATGTAAGTTTCAAGCTACCAGCCACGTGGGAGTCAAGTGTCTTAACCACCACACCACCTGCTGGCCCTGTCCTCCTATATATCTTATTTAATTACATATGTCAATCCTATTAATTATTAGATGAAAATATAGTATTCTTTAACCCAGCTCACACATTTTGAAAGTTGCTATGGTAATTGGGTGGTTTTATTGGTCACTGTGTTGCTATTGATTCATATTAGTCAAACTACAAAATGACATTTCGAGAAAGATTCTTTAGGGGTCAGCAGGTAGTGTAATGGTTATATTGCTGGACTCTCACATGACTGATGGTGGTTCAAGTCTTGGACCCAGTGTCTTAAAAACTCTTGCTGGGTGCATGTGCATGCTTGCCCAAGATCCCAGAAGGAGAAGGAGTAGGGATTGCGGTGTGGTCATCCCCCTCAAGGGTGATTTCTCATGGTCTCTATCTCTCTTTGGCAAGCGCTTGTACCCTAAGGCAAAACCCTCTTTTTTTTTTCTTTAAAAGAAAGCTTCCTTTAAATATATGTAAATTATAATTCTAAATAATTTGGTTTGCAAAGTAGTGTTGTTCATTAGACTGAAATAATTTAAGAGTTATTTACTCTCTAAATTTATTTAAAAACTAAAAGATTAAGTATCAGAATACAGTCTCAAAATATTAATATGTGTATATTCGAACAGATTGACCTGGAGAGCATCTTTTCTCTTAACCCTGACCTTGTACCTGATGAAGAAATTGAAGCCAGTCCAGAAATACCTCCACCTCCAACATCCTCAGCCAAAGTAAACAAAATCGTAAAGGTTAGTGATGAAAATTTAGAGCAAGATGTGTGTGTATGTGTTCTGCTTCCGGTTTGAAATTGGTAGGCTGTGAAGAGTATATTAAGTATGTATTAATTTGTTTGCGTCCTTTCTCTCTCTATGAGAGAAGGAGAGAAAGGAAGATGGATATTTTTTGTTTTTGTTTTTCTTTTTTTGGGAGAAGTTTTTGCTATAGGGCACCATGCGCTCACCAGATAGACAGAGAGAGACAGAAAGCGAGAAATCACCCTGCAAGGGGGGATGGCCACACATCAAGCCCTTCTCCTCCATTCTCCTATCAGGATCTTGGGCATGCACGCACATGCATCCGGCATGAGTTTAAGCCTGAGTCTGGGATTCAAACTGTGGTTGACTGCGCGGGAGTCCAGCGGCATAGCCATTATGCCAACTGCTGGTCCCAAGATAGATATTTTTGACAGGTTTTCTTATGTCATAATCTTCTAGTCCTCCTACCAAAGCCGCCAAGTTATCTACACTTATAGGCAAATACAGCTGCACCTAGCTAGTTTAGATTGGCCCAGGGACTGAACCTGGATCTCCTGTATGGCTTCCAGCCTTTAAGGCAGTGGGTCTATCTGTGTGTAGCTGGGATGATTAATGCACTTTTTAAGAAAATTATTAATTCTTTCCACCATCTATATCCATGTATGTATACACATACTTTTTAGGATTGAGGCTAATTTACATTTATGACAATTATTAGGTAAGATCGATATAAATTTCTTGCCCTATGGGATTTTTCTTGAGACTAATAGCTTTTTAGGAGCTATGGGTGAAAACTATTCACACGTCAGTGTTTGCTGAATGCATATGTATGATTGACAAAGGAAGAATGACCATCTGCTATTAATAATAAATAACTTTTCTGGTAGTCTTTTGAAATTTTAAATCTCCATTTATGTTTAATAAAGAAAGAAGGGAAATGATAAGAGTATAGTTTAAATATTTTTATATTATTCATGAAGGTAAATGTCAAAACCATGCTGTGTGAGAGAAATGGTGAGAGGGAAAGTGAGAAATCACCCCTGGGATGGGGGAGGGATGGCCATGCCATAGTCCCTTCTTCTTTATTCTCCTCTTGGGATTTTGGGCATGCACACACATGTGTCCAGCATGATTTTTAAGCCACCAGATACAGGACTCAAACTGTAGTCGGCCATGTGGAAGTCCAGCACCTTAACCACTATGCCACCTGCTGGGACTGCTCTTCTTTCCTTTTGAAACCCATTACTGTTAAAATATATCAGAGGACCAGACAGTGGCATAGTGCTAGAAAGCAGCACTCTGTGAGACTGGCCTGCATGGGAAGTTTTGAGTTCATCTCTGGAGGCTTTGCTGAGTGTACTAGACACTCATGTTCCCATGATTCTAGGCTGGCTGGGGCTGCGAGTGAAGACTCCCTTTCTCTCTTTTTCTCTCCCTCCGACTCTCCTGCTTGTGGAAGAAATAAATAATCTTTTTTAAAAAGGTAAAGTTTTGTCAGAGTACAGCTGTTTTTAAACCAAATAGTTCTACGAAGTTGTTGAATCTGCAGTTCTTAATGTTTAGCTCAACAGTATTTGAAAATTTTTCTGCACTGTGCAGGATCTGTGCTAGACAGAATACAATGATGATTATGACATGGCTTTCAGCTTGTAGCAAATTGATACCTTGCAGGGTGGACATACAGAAGCATTCAAATGTAGTGTGACAGAAGCTCAACGATGTCAACAAAACATTCTGCTTCAAAACTGTGCATATGAACATAAGGCAGGCTCTCTTGGGGGTGTGCTTTCTATCTCTGTCTCTCTGGCATTAGAAGAAAAATTCTTCAGAGCAATGCCTAACTCATATCAGATCTTGAATTCTTTGAAGAGTGAGGGAGGAAATTGAGTAATGATAGTAGTAGTTCATTAGCTCATTTACAGTCTTGCTTCATTTAATTTTATATTTTGTTTACCTACTTTTTATTTTCTATAGGATGGCATGCACTTGCTGGAGAGAGACAGAGAGAGAGAGGGAAAGTGAGAACTCATCCCAAAGAAGGATGGCCACACTATAATCCCTTCTCCATTCTCCTCTTGAGATTTTTGGACATGCATAAACACATGCCTAGTGTAATTTTTAAGCCATCAGGTCTGGAACTTGAACCACATGGTCGACCATGTGGGATATGGCTGCCTTAACCTCTGTGCTACCTGCTGGCCCATGTCTGTCTACTTTTATTTAATAATACGTTTTTAAAAAGCTGAGATTATGATATTATTTGTGAAGAGAATATACAGTGAACTTTTTTTCTCCACAGAATCGAAGGACTGTGGCTTCTATTAAGAATGACCCTCCTCCAAGAGACAATAGAGGTAAAGTAAAAATGTACTTCTTGATCTTTCCTGTTGATGCCTTAGCATTGCCCTGACGAGGTAATGAGGTAAATCAAATATTACTGTTGGTGCTGTTATTAGTTCAAATTTTTAATGTATTAGTTAGGATATAGATATTTGAGAGGGGATTTATTAAAATGAGCTCAAGTGATTTTAGTGGCTAAGAAGTCCCACAGTAAGCCATCTGGAGACTCTGAGATGCCAATATTGTAGCTCAGCCCAAGTCCAGAAGCCTCAGAAGCAGGGAACCTCATAATGTAATTATCAGAAACCAGAGCCTGGAAACCCCAGCGGTGGTGGCAGATAGCTGTTGTAATTCCTATAGTGTAATTTCTAAAGTCCAAAGACAGAAGATCCTTTAGTTTTGATGTCCAAGGCAGCAGCAGGAACCTGTTCTTATTTGCCTTAGGTATTGTTTTCTCCAGACCTCCAGGTTAGATAGTGCCCACTACCCATGTTGAGGCCAAATCTCCTCTAGTTCACTCAGACTCACATGTTAATTTCTTGAAACAACCTTACATACTCAGGTAGTATAATGCTATACCAGGTTTTAAAGTATTATTTAATACAGTTTATTTTTTTCTTTTTTTGCAGAGATTTTCACTATAGGGTGCTTGGGCTCGCCAGAAAGACAGAGACAGAGAGACAGAAAGCGGGAAATCATCCCCCAGGGGGATGGCTACACCGCAGTCCCCTCTCTTTCATTCTCTTCTCGGGATCCTGGGCACGCACGCACATGCACCCGGCATGAGTTCTAGCTGCCGGGTCCAGGACTTGAACCACTGTCGACTACTTGGGAGTCCTGTGACATAGCCATTACGCCAACTGTTGGTCCCTTATTTAATACAGTTTTGATGACACCTAAAATTAACTGTCACCTGTGACCAATTTTAAGATTGGTTATCTTGATTTCCTAATACAATAATACCAATAATACTAAAAAATTATGTTTTAAATGTATGTGATGGGGCCAGCAAGTGGCATGATAGTTAAGGCACTGGATTTCCACATGGCTGAGTATGGTTTGAATTTCAAACCTGGCAGCTTGAAAAATCACAAATAAATAGATAAATAAATGTTTTTTTAAAAGTATGTGATAAACATAGATTCCACGAAATATGCAACTTTTTCTTCATTTAATGTCAGTAATTTGCAAATTTGAGCAGAGTATTGTGAGAAAGAAAGGAATAGGGAATAAGTCAGTTGATTGAATTTAGAAGGGTACATTTAGCACCATCACATTTACCATGATTTTCTGTCTAATAGGCTTCCAAAAAGACTAAAGGTGTCAACTAAAGAATGGATGTTGTAGTTAACCACAGGTTTTCCATGTTTTTTTTTTTCAGCAGCAGATGTAAAGCATAATGCATTTATTTTTTTCTTTTCTTTTTAAAAAAGAATGATTTATTTAATCCATTTGTTATTGATATTATTATTTTTTAATTTGACCAGATAGAGATAGAGAAAGGAAAGGCGAGAAAGAAAGCGGCCAGGTCCAGGACTGGAACTGTGATTCACCATGTGGGAATCTGGTGCACTCAATCACCATGCCACCTGCTGCCCCATGCATTTCTTAATTCTACTTTTCAGCTGTTCAGAATTGTCCTTTCTAATAGTGATGTTTCTCTATGTGTGGGTGGAGGGGGTGCAGGATGGGCAGATGTATTCGAGGCAATATTAGAGGTAGAGGGAAAAGTCCTTGTTTGAACACCATCTTGTGACTTGTAAAAATTACTTTTGTAAAATGTGATATTTATTAATATTTATATTTCTTTTTCTGCTTTTATAATATCTACATTGGAAAATCTTCTGCTGAAGAGTTGCTTATTTGAGGAGCAAAAATAGGATTTGGAATATAGGATGGAAGGACTTTTAAGTTTTCTTTCTGAATAGTGTAGATTTTTCAAAATATGCAAATAAAATTCATATTTTAGACACAATTTTAGGGGGATTCCTTTGTAGTTTGAAGTCTTTAGATATAGAGGGGTTTGTGTCTATATTTTTATTATTTATGAGTGAGAGAGAGAGAAGTGTTTCTTGACAGCGTCTTATTTTGTGATCCTTCTGCCTGGGAATAAAGATGCATGGCCTCCCTGCTGGGAATAAAGATGCATGCCACCACGTCTGATTCTCTTTCAAACAGGGTTTCTCTGTGTTGTCCAAGCCAGTCTTAAGCTTAATAATCTTCTTGCGTCAGCATGTCACTGGGATTACAGGCTCACACCACTATGCCCAGTTTTTTGTGTTTTTGTTTTTTTTTTTTTTTT